AAGAAGATGACTAAAGAAGATGACTTAAATTTAGAATTTTAGATGGTTAAATCAAATTTGTCCCGAATTCTCGATTAAAATGTTGATTTGTGGTTGAGTTGTGTGGGTTGTGGGCTTTTAAAATGAAAAATGAACTCAATTTATGGATTATCTAGTCAAAATTCACTAATCCAAGATGAAAAACCCAAAAGGAAATAGGCAAAAAGTCCAACTGCCAAACAGAAGATAAAATCGAGATTTTACCTGATTTCACAGTAAAATCGAGATTTTACCTGATTTCACAGTAAAATCGAGATTTTACTTTATTTTAGATTTTAGTATAGATTTTACACGAAATACCTTGCTGAAATCGTAAAATCGTAAGATTTTAAGATTTAAATCTAGATTTTGACAACACTGTGTACGCATTCTCTTCAAAGAGGAGTGAAAATTAGGACGACTAACATTAAAACTGTCAAGATGTTTAATCCCTATCACTTGATAAATGAAATCTGAGTAAGAGCAACTCTACTGCTTAGCCATCTTTTAACTCAGATTGGACTGACATTTTTAATGCCAAGATGTTCTAATATCAATCAATAGCTTGAAGATTCCTCCAGATATAAAACTAAACGAAACAAAACACAGCAAATTCGTTTTATGGAGTTGAAGCAACAGTTTAAAGTCAAAATTCTGGGTCCCTACTTTCGCTCATTGCAGGGAAGGGAGTCATACACCTCGTGCATTTTCCACGCACTTGGCATGCTGCTGTTTCTCGATTAATTCATAACGTTACAAAAGACTCTCATAACGTTGCTTTCCGTCTTCCAGCTGCATCCTCATGTTCAACCTGATAAAAAAACCAGGTTAATTCGAAAAACCAATACGAAATGAAGAACTAATTTTTCATATCAGTATTTGAAAGAACCATCCATGGATAGACAAATAAAATTAAAGCTAAAATGTAGTGGAATGCAAGGAACAACGCATGTGATGGATTTTAGATCATAGGTAAAAAGTGATTTTCTTGGTACTTTGAAAAGAGAAATTTTACTAGCCATGAACTAATTTACGGTCAAGATAACTGGCTACCCAGTTTCCAAGAGACTATTCTGTTGCTTGCAGGACATGACAGTAGACCAAATATGAAAGGTTAATGTGCTGGTGCTTCCAGTTTCACATTTTTTAAGAAGACACCAAATATATCAGACAATTATTTCAAAAATTAAATAAAGAAATAAATCAGGCATTGATCAAGATGCTAAGAAGAAATCACAACTCCATATCATGGGTAGCCCATAATCCCCCTCTTTTCTTCCCAGAGAAGTTGAAGGAAAAAAATTAACATATAATAGATATGTTACCAGATTTAGGTCGAAGTGACAAATTTACAGAGTATAATCCCTATCAGATGGAATATCCAAGTGAACAAGATGGATGCTTATATGCGAATATCATATGACTATGAATTTAAATATCTGCTGATTATGAGAAGGAGGTTAAAATATAGGCTTCGTTTTGGGAGTGTGGTGCTGTGCTAGGCTATAGCTGTAGGTTTTTCTAAGTTTTACTATCCTAAAAATATTTAAAATATTAATTTAAATTAATTAAGAATAATAAAGTTATATCTTTAGGTAGAGTGTCGTGTGAAAAACATCTATGTACATGATTACATTTCCAAATGAAGCCTAAGAGTTTGAGGGCTTTTACCTCAACTAGAACCCTTGCTCTCTTCTTGACCTTTGTACTAGATTCATCTTTTTCATGCCTCTTCTGGGCAGATGAAGACCCACTTTTCTGCCTCTTCCACCCCACCGTATCCTCTCCTTGATCTTCTTCTTCATCATCATTGTCAGCAGCAGTAGAAGCTGTGTAAGAAAAAAGAATAACCAACAGTTTTACCATTACCCTTGTAAGATGTATCCATTGCGAAACCACCAAAATCTTCTATATCATCATCCTCCTCAAGTCCATCCGGATACGCATTTGACAAGCTTGTGAGACGCTGTTTTATTTTATGCATAAGAATCTGTGGCCAATACATCTCTAAGATAGGTAGAAAAGAAATACACACATTAACAACAGAAAAGCCTGTGATGGGGGAAAGCAACATGGCTGCTGATGCTGTTGCCAAAAAAGGAGCTATGGCTCCTCATGGTTTTCATATTTTGGTAGATTGTCCACCGGATGTGGACTTGTCATGTATGGCTGATTGTGTAGGGGTTCGCTACCCCAGACTGTAACCCTTTTGGCTCTTGTTATTTTGTCTTCTGTTTACCAAAAAGAGAAAAAACAACAGAAAAGCCTTTAACCGAGTGCAGGAGAAGACCTGGTAAAAACATCACCAAAAAAGAGAGAAGAAACAGGGTACCAGATGCTTGTCAATAATTTCAAGAGCCTTCAAATAATTCC